AAATAAGTATATTAATAATACATATCTCTCACAATTTTGCATGCTTAAAAATTTATTTTTTACTTCATAAAAAATGTGTATATACATTATATTTATTTCTTTTCAATATCTGACAACTGAAACATGTATTTCAAAAAAATGATGTTTCAACGTTGCAATAACAATTAATGTAGAAACATCAATATAACAATTAATAATTGTAATTAAGACTTTGATAAATAGAAATTCAATAATATATATAATTTCTAAACTAAAAAAGCTGCAAGTTGATAAACGCTAATTACTATTTAACATCCATATACATAAAATATATATAAATTATATTATAATAGGTATAACCAAACGTTTCGATCTTGAATATGATCATCAGCGAATATATAATATCTAAACGTTTTGTTACTCATGTTTTAATAACTTCAAAAATCAGTCGATTGTATACATATAATACAGGGTGCGTCACCAAAATCCGGATAAATTGAACAATTTTTTTAAACAAAATGTTTTTAATGAAAAATTATATATTACAAAAAATTCTTTTACATGACACTTGGGGGATCCCTGTAGAGCACAATTATTCGATATATCCCCCATTAGCTTGAATGATGGCTTTTATTCCCTGAAGCGTTCGCACGCACGCTGTAATACCGACGAATAATGCCTCAATAGTGAAATGCCTTAATAACGTCATATTGGCATGCTGAGACTTGTTTGTGATTATTTCAACTACGCTCCATACGTAGTAGTCCAAGGGATTTAAATCTGAGCCGATGGGAGGCTAGAATTCCTTGGATCAAAACATATCAATGTTGTCTGAGAGCCAATTTTGAATCAAATGACTCGTATGAGCCGGTGAAAAACATATGGCTTTCCGGACGCTATAGTTTCCAGCCACGGTTTCACTACATCCATCAGAACGCGCAACGATTGCTCTGGGTCATCCGAAATCAGCGCTTGAGTCCTTTCAACGACTGCGGGGGTTCTCGCGGTGCGTTCTTTCAAGTGACCTTCCTTACTGGAATCTTCGTTGGACTGTTCTAAAGCCGTATTTTGCCACAACGTCATAAATTGTTGATCTCGAGTATCCAAAGAATCGAATTATTTCCGTTGCTGAGCAGCACCCAGCGCGAAGACCTTGGATGATCGCGGCTCTTCGATTATACACTTGATTTTAACATCGCGACCATTTTGAAAATATGACTGTTTATTAGAAGCATCAAGCTTCCTCGGATGCCAACAGCAACTTCTGACGGAGGCACAATATTATAACGGAAAATTTAAATTAAAATTTGTCCGGATTTTGATGATCTTGTATATGTCAAGTTTTGTGGATATAAGATTATTTTTTGCTCCTTATATAGAGTTAATAAAGAACATCTCGCTAAATATATATGCTTTAAACTTTAGAGAGGTTTCTTCGCAGTAATTATACGCGTAATGTATTATTTTTTACAGTGTTCTGAATATACATATTCATTGTTCTCTTTATGAAACTCACACGATTATGATTTGGCCGTTATTTTTGGTCACCCTTAGCGTTTAACAATTTGAAAGTGATTTTAGATGTGCATCAACCCCAGCTAATGCTAAATATTTACAAAAAGTTCGTATTACCAATGTACGTATGAATGTTCGTATGAATGTTCCGAAACAGTAAAAGAATCCTCACAGAATATATAAATGTCGATGAAATTTGTCGTTCAGAACATTGTATGAATACTCCTTGTATATTTCATGAAAATCACGAGTGAGCGAGCAATACATCTCCGCCGATAGAGGGCCGTAATGAAAAACATTTATTCATAGACAAGAATCACCTGGGAGAAAATATAAGGAGCACAGCACTTCATCTGTGAAGTGAGTCCCAAAATTAGAATTTTCCAAATTGAAAACATATTAAGTGTGTTTTCTAAAATAAAATTTTGTTTTTAAAACTGATTCACGGATGACCTGACTTGGAATTTTGAAAAAATTAAAATTTGTGGAATATGTATAGGACATTCTCGGAATATGTAACGACATACAAATGAAATTTTTAAACGATATTTGAATATTTCTTTTACATACCGTAAATATTCGAAATATTTTGGAATATTCTTGAAATGATTTTTGGAAATTTTAAGAACATTTTATGAACATTTCAAGAATATTTGCTGAAATCCTTGATGAAAAATCCTTGGATGATTATCACATTATGGTATTGTAAATATCTTTTCAGTTTATGGCTGTTAAGAACGTTTCTTTCAAGAGTACATTTTACAATAATAATCAGTATAAGTACAGAAATCTATACTTTTTGGAAAATTCGAAACATTTTCCCACATCCATTTTATTCACATACCATAATGTGAATTATCCATTCTTCATCAAGGGTTTATGCACATTCAAAACCATTTTCAAATTGTTAAATGTTAAGGATGGTGAAAAGTAATCGTTGAAATGTTCGTAACCGTAAGGATGGTGAAAAGTAATCGTGAATTTCATTAAAAGAACAACGAATATGTATATATGTATATATTTAGAAAATACATTGTTTATAAAAAAACAACACAGCAAATGTTATAAAAAGCAACACAACAAATGTTATGAAATATTATTCTTGAAATATTCATAAAATTTCCTAAAATCCCCAAAGAATATTCCAAATATTTACGGAATGTAGAAGAAACATACAAATGTCGGTTAAAAATTTCATTTGTAATATATCGTATATTCATAATATATCGTTATATATTTCGAAAATATTCCATATATATTTCATATATTTTCCGCAAAATTTGAATTTTTTCAAAAATTTCCGGTCAGATCGTGAATCAGTTTTTAAACCAAATTTTATTTTGAAAAACATATCAATGTGTTTTCATCATAGAGCTCAATTTTAGGACTTACTTTACAGACGAAGTGCTGCACTCCCTGTTTTCTCTCAGATGATTCTTGTTTCCGAGTAAACATTTTTCGCTGCGGCCCTCTGACGGCGGAGATGTATACTGTTCGCTCGCTAGCGATTTTCGTGAAATACAAAGAATATTCTAAACATTTCATCAACATTTACACATATAGTAACGATTCTTTCATTATTCTGGAACATTCGGTACATTGATAATACAAATCGAACTTTCTGTGAATATTTAGCATTAACTGGGAATACACACAAATAATTACCGTGGAAAAAATTCTCACCAGCCCTATGATATCACTTCAATAATATTTATTCAAAATACTAAGAGCTTATTTTATTATTATTAGTTTAATTTATTAATATATAATGCTTTATATATAATGCTTTATATATAATGCTTTATTCTTCGATTACTATTAGCTGATATTCAGATCATTCGTTTTTTTTCGATAGAATCAACAAACTTATGAGGAATTTTTTATTCTCTTATCAATATATTATCAAATATAAACATTTTTTGATGAAATTCTTGATATACTTTGATTTCTCAACTCCATACAAATTCCTCGTTCATAAATCAAAAACGGAAATATTCTGTTTAACGGTATATATAACGATATATATAACGGACATATATGTGGACAAACCTCCCAATTGTACTTGTATATTGTACTTAATCCTTATACATTGTATTTTAAAAAATAACATTAATTTCAATATTGAAAAAATATTTACATTTCAATATTCAACATTATAGCAACATTAACAATCAATACAAAAATAATAAATATAATTGTGAAGGCCATAGGAATCAATGCTGGTTGTAAACATGTGTGATAATTTTAACAATAAATTAATACAACAATTGGAACGTTTCAACTCAACTCTTTGAGTCATCTTCAGTCTATACCTCTTAAATGTAACGCCACTAATTCGAAATACAATATCTCCAATATCTTAAATGTGATCGTTGTGGAGCAAACATGAGACAACGAGCCGTATTTCAAACATTAATGTTGTCCAACAATGGTTTCAAAGCTTACAAGAGAACCATTTCGGTTTGTATAACAAGTCAGTGAAAATCCTTAATATCAATAAAAGTTGACAGCAGAAGATTGTAAATTAAGGGAAAAGACAAGAGCGAATGTGGCTCGATTATGCACATTATCGATCGAACACGGCAGTATTTCCCAATCGAATACGGATCTGATCGGACACAGACACGATTGGATACAGACTCGATTGGACACGGACCCGATCGAACACGGACTCGATCGGACACACAGCGTTGCATTAACGGACTCGATTACACACGGATCCGATTGCACACATATCCGATTGCGCACAGATCCGATTGTGCATCGACTCGATTGCGCACGGATCCGATTGCGCATGACCCGATTACACACATACTTAATCGGACGTAATAGCGATCGGAAAAACGGGAAAAATATTAGTAGATGAAAAAACATAAATAAGTGTTTATATATCCATGCCAAGTGACTCTCATTCTCCCCTTCCCCCTCCTGCAAAGGAGCGCACAACTTCTATAATTGTACTATTGTTGAGATTAAAAAAATCTATCATGTAGACAGTGAGGGATATGGACTAGTACTTATTGATTTGGGGCGGTTATGTCGCTCCGAACAAAAAGAGCATTTTACTCGCTTGAAGTCTAACCACTTAGAAGTTGTAGCGTAGACAGTGTCCGCTTGGAATATTTCTAATCCATGAAGACAGTGAGATGTGAGAAGTCTAAGTGCAATCGAGTCGGTGGACAATCGGATCGTGCGCAATCGAGTCGATGCGCAATCGAGTCCGTGCGCAATCGAGTCTGTGTACAATCGGGTCGATGTGCAATCGGATCTGTGCGCAATCGGATCCGTATGCAATTGAGTCCGTGTCCTAATGCAACACTGTATGTCCGGTCGTGTCCGTGTCCGATTGAAATACTGTCCGATCGATAATATGCGCAATGGAACACTTCCGCAAGAGCGTACACTGAGAAAAAAGATATAATAATGGTAATAAGAAAAGAGAATTATTCACAAATAGCCGATTATCATTGGATTATTTTGTTAAAATAACAAAATACAATATTTTTTGTTAAATGAACAAAATTTTTTTATTTCATATTACAAATTTATTTGATTACTTACGTTTTGTAAATAATAATGAAATTTGATTGTCTTTACAAAATAAGTATTCTTTTAGTAATTTCAACAAAATAAATCCACTATGGTAGAGCAAGGAGCGTTTCGCGAAGCTATCAGAGATGACGTGCCTTCTCGTAAGAGAAATTCAATGTCTACCTCTATAAAGCCGAGACGATTAGAGATTAATCTCGTAGACTTCTCGATTGTCACCACACCATGATCAATCATAACTATTTTTTCAGATCAATTAGTAATCTCAATTGCTTTAAATCTATATTATATCTTTGCTAATATACTAGCTTGATCAAAAAGTTTCCGGAATTCATTCAAAAAATTCAAAATACAAGTTTATTCATCAAAAGTGATATTGTCCCCTTCAAAGTACTCTCCAGCGACTGCAACGCACTTATGCCAGCGCTTGATCCAGCTCTCGAAACATTTCTGGAACTCTATTATTGATATAGCCATCAGAGCCGTCTTCGATTTTTCCATTACCTCCTTTCGGCTGTTAAAACGCGTTCCCCGCAGTGGTTTTTTGACTCGATCGAACAGAAAAAAATCGCAGGGAGCCATATCGGGTGAATTCGATGGCTGTTGGATGGTATTCGTTTTGTTCTTGACCAAAAATTCACAGATAATGGCACTGTGCGACGGTGCGTTATCATGGTGCAAAATCCACGAGTTGTTTACCCACAAATCCTTTCTTTTTTGGCGAATTGCTTCACGCAAACGTCTCATAACGCCCAAATAATACTCCTTATTAACTGTCTGACCTTCTGACAAAAATTCGTGATGTACAATACCGTTGTAATTCATGAAAACCGTGAGCATCGCTTTCTTTTTCGACTGAAAACGACGTGGTTTTTTTGGTCTTGGCTCATTTGGAGCTCTCCATTCACTCGCCTGATGTTTGGATTGCGTGTCATACTCATAAACCCACGTCTCGTCTCCAGTAATGATAAATGTTGGGTCGGATTCAGTCTTGGAAATCATGTATTTGGCGATGTCAACGCGGTCCCTTTTTTGCATGAAATTCAGTTCCTTCGGGACCAACTTTGCAGCAACACGGCGCAAACCCAAATCATTAACTACAATGTCCTGAACGGATCCATAAGCAATGTTTAAGTCCTCTGCCAGCTCTCTGATAGTTAATTTGCGGTTATTGGCCAACATTTCTCTCACTTTATTGATGTTTTCGTCGGTTTTCGATGTCGACGGCCTACCACTGCGTTCGTTATCCTCGACGGATTCACGACCACTTCTGAAGCGTTCATGCCACTCGTAAACGGTTGTTTTCTTTAGAACATCACTGCCGAAACAGTTTCCCAACATTTCCAAGGTTTTCGCACCATTGAATCCATTTTTAACGCAATATTTAATACAAACTCGTTGTTGCAAATTCAACTCCATTTTTAAAACTGTAAAAAATCGAAAACACGCGCAGAGGTAGATGTACTCAAGACGGCGTAATTTTTACAAATGTCAAGCTATGGCGATAAAATTTGATGGAAATGTCAATGATAGATGTGGCAACCTAGCCAAAAAAAAGAACTCAAATCAGCTGACTCAGAGCATCACCTGGTGGTCTCTTCCGGAAACTTTTTGATCAAGCTGGTATATCTTCTAAGCTAAGGAAACTCAAAAACGCCAAACATAATTTCACTCTGTAGAAGGTGAGAGATATATATTATTCATTTTATTCCGGTATAATAAAATGTTCTATTTCTAACTACAAAAGATCTGTAAACATCATACAAAACAGTTTGTATTACTAAATTATTAATTCATTTAGTAAATTCAACAAATTAATATTGTCGCGGTCAAACCAATGGTTTGATTGATTATATCAACAAATAGTTTTTATATCAGCAACAAAACTTTGGTTATTTGGTACAAAACATTTTTCTCAGTGTCGTAGATTTCAAGAAATTTAGTATTATAGTGCATGGTAAAGTTGTAGAACGGCTAATATCTCAAAAATATTGATTTATTTTAAAAATATTTGAAACAAAAATAAATTTTTAAAAAGTTATCAAATAATGATATTTATTTGATCTTAGAATGACCTTGAAAAATGTTTTCGAAATTTCCGGGAAAGATCACTGGAGTTCCTAAAAAAAAAGAGAACCCAAAGAAGCAAGAGAACGTGTACCACAGTATTTCTCAGGGGTCCGTGCTAAGGCCCCCCCTATTATGGAACATTGGATACGTCATACTCCGCCCTTGCCCCCGGCTGTGAAGTCGCTTGCTACGCAGACGACACGTTAGTGCTGGCCGGGGGAGCAAACTGTGGAACTATAACCACGACAAACATTGCCGTGGCCTGTGTGATGCGCTCAATAGAAGGCATAGGACTCAAGGTGGCACCCCAGAATATTGAAGCCATGTTTATGCATGACAGAACGCATGGAGCTCCATCCGATGCTCATAATATCATAATCAATAATAGGGATATCCCTCGTCCAGATAGGACTTGAAGTATCTAGGTCTCAAATGGATGGCCGATAGGAGTTTAGGGATCACTTCGAACGGGCTCCCTGGCTCTCAAGGCAAATAAACAGGCCGATGCTCTTGCTGGCCTGATGCCCAACTTAGGCAGTTCGAGAACGCGGCGTATGTACATGCACACTGTTCTGTCGAGACTCCTATATGGGGCCTCAGGAGGGAAAGGCGCGTTTTAGCCTCCGCATTAAAACAACCCTTCACAGGATACAGCGGAAGCTAGCACAATGTATCATACGCACTTACAGGACGATATCCTTTGCTGCCGCGTCGATCCTCGCGGAAATTCCCCCGGTGGAACTGTTGATCAAAAGTCGAACGAACGTGTACCGTTGAGTTAAGTCCGACTTACGGGGGGATTCCGTGGCCCCTAGAACCGTGGAACTTAAGCGTGAGGAGGCCAAACTGTGGATCATTGAAGAGTGACAAACTCTGCTCAAGGATCTGCACTGCGTCAGTTCTCGGATCGTCCAGGCCATCCGCTCTTACCTCAAAGAGTGGTAGGTCCTGGGGAAGGATATCCTTCAGAATGACGCATATTCACCGGTCATGGATGTTTCGATGAATATTTGTGTTGAATCGGTAAGGAGCACCGTAAGGTATCACCACTGTGCGGCCGACGAGAACACTGCGCAACCTACTCGAGGAGTATCCCGCATTGCCAAGCAGCGCGGTGCCCTGATCGCGGTGGTAGAGCCTGACCTCTCGCTGTCCTTCATAGTGCGGAAAATGATGAGTGGCGAAAAGGCATGAATGTCCATTTTCTCCTTTTGCGAGGCAGTCATGCGATGGGAGGAGAAGGCGAGAAGGAGAAGGAGAGAAAGAGAGAGTCAGAGGATCAGAAGACCCCATGCGGGAATCGGGGGTGAGTGGCGTCCCTCGCCCTCCCGCCTCTACGGAGAGCGACATCGACTAGGTATTCCGCCCGCTGCCGAGTTGCCGGCCTACGGACATACAATAAGGTCAGCGCGAAGGAGAACTGGGGTAAAATCAGAGTGGGATAAAACCGAGTCTCGACTCTGCCCCCCCTCCCCTTCATGAGAAGAGCGAGATAGAGGGGAGGGCGATGTTCCGGAATGTCGGTCCAGGAGCTAGGCAAGAGGCCACCGGGAGATGTGTTGGCTACGACCGACAGGCCCAAGGGCGTTCCGGAAGAATGCTGCATGCGTCCCGAGTCGCCCTCAACTATTGACCTAGATATGCAAACCGGCGGAGATTTTAGTGGATGCATAGTCCCACATAACCCTTGGTTAGGTTCCCATCTACCGAGGGTATGCATTTCCTCCACCTTACCAAAAAAAAGCGTTTTCAAAGTCAACACAAAAATCTTAAACGAAACTTTTTACTTTTCATAGCATATCTTTATAACTGACGTTGATACGTTTCCAGAACATTGATTACAAATCTTTTTTTTATAAGAACTTTCCAAATTATAGCATTTGAAAATTACGAGTACAGTACCGCCGGCATTAGCACATGAGTATATAACAATTGCATACGAGCCAATTGCGCACAAGCCAATCACAAAGATATAATAAAAAATTAAAAAATCTCTACGCAGAAGTCGCATTCGCGAGATACAGATTACTAAAACCATCTATTGGAAAAATAATGGATTTCTTTTTACTACACCTAATATATTCAAAAAATTTCATGCTTATTTTAAATTTGATACATTTTTTTTGGCGTGACGACCATAGTTGTGTATTTTAAATATATTTTGTAACGCACAATTCTTAACATATTTTACACATTGCATAGTATTAGTAACATCTAGATTATGTAAAGAATCTATATCTTCGTAATCAGCATCCAAGGTCTCAATGGTCAAGCTGTAGTTATCAAATATATCAACCATTCGCGTTTTTCACATCCTTTAACGTATACGAGAGCCTTATTGTCGTTACTCTTTTTTACACGAATTACAGCCATAATCAGGCGTTTCGCCATGCTGTACGGGATCATCTTGTCTTCCCATTGAAATCCATGGTGATAAGTACTCAGACAGGAAGCAATACTTTTCTGACTTTGTCAAGAAATAGTATGGGACACGTAAAAATGTAATGAGACAGAATGGCTCCTTTTCTTGACCGTGAAGTCGGCCGGAAAGGTGGCCACAGTTTTTTGGGATATAAATATGCCTGCGGTATATTTATATACGGTATATTTATTATTACTTTCTGTTGAAGCAAACGATTAATGGTGATAATGGTGACTACGTAGTCTTAGTGGATCGTTCCAACACCGCCATTTCCTTCACGACAAATTTCTTTCCAACGATAAATCCTTGCAGATCTACAAACGTTGGTATAATCATGGTGAACGACTTTCGAAACTGTGCTCGATCGCAAAAAATCTTGGTTTTAATCTCTTTTATTGAAAAGACGGGGAGAGTATTTTTTCTTTCAGCAATGATAATTTATATAATCTTGCGTACTACGTTGGACAAAGAGCTATATTCGATCACAATCGTAAGACAACAGGCTATAATATTCGCGAGTATATATTCCTTGAATTTTAATTACATATCCACTGGACCGACTGTATCTTGATGAATTCGTTTTGTCGTGAGCAGTCAATGATAACGTGAGTATAACCGTGAAGAAAGTTTTTCATGTTCAATAATGTTTCACGATTTTCCCAGAAAATTTGGTAATAAAACGTACAAAAACGTACGAAGGCAATAAGTTCTTAGAAAATCAGTCAGAGGGCACTTACTTTTTGACAAGTAGTATCTTTCAGCTGATTACTGTTAAATTTTGAGCGAAATTCATCGTGGTTTCATTTCTGTAGACGATTAAAGCGAACAACCTTTGTATTTTTTGTAAAATGAAAGAAAACGAATTTCGTGCAGTGAACATCTACATATGAAAGGTTTAACGCTGAAAGAAATCAAAGCCGAATTGGATAATGTTCATCTGTACCAGCGTTTGCGACTGTATACAATTGGATGAACGAATTTAAGCATAGTCGTACATTCACATGTGATGCACCTCGTTCGGGACGTATAATTGAAGCCGCTACGCCAGAAATCATCGATAAAGTTCACGATATTGTTTTAACTGATCGACGAGTGAAAGTGCGCGAACTTGTTGAGGCCACAGGCATATCACATGGCACAGTAATTTCAATTTTGCACGAATAATTGGGTGAAAAAGCTATCGGCAAGATGAGTGCCGCGTTTGCTTACTGTGGACCATAAGCACGATCGTGTGACGATTTCAAAACAATGTTTGGAGATGTTTCAACGTAATTCAGATGAATTTCTGCGTCGATTACTGTGGAATTTCTGCGTTCATTACTGTGGACGAAATATGGATCCATTACTTCACACCCGAAACGAAGGAACAGTCAAAACAATGGACTTCATCAAGTGAACCAGCTCCGAAGAAGGCGAAGACCGTGAAATCGACCGAAAAGATGATGTGTTTGAGATCGGTAATTCGAAAAAAAGGTAAGAACTCCTTCGGTCGACCGACAGTAATTGTATTGAACGCACGCACAAGGCGAGCTCGTGATTTCATCTCGAGCCTGACATTAAGCCTCGTCAAAGTCAGGGATTCGTCGTTCTCTAGTCTTTTCAAAACAATTCGGTACACGCAAACAGGCACCGGCAACGGACAATCGAAAGTTCTAGAACAATTCAATTCGCGCACGCGAGCGCCGCGCTCCGACGAATACGTCACGCGCTGTCACCAATCCCACGTACGGATTTTCTGTCGCGCATGTCTGTTACGTTGAACGTCGTTAGAAAAGAATCCAAAGCGCCAATCAATTTTGTACAACCAATGCCACGTGATAATTACGATTGTGGCAAAATTTTATTGGAT